TAGCGCTCCATAGTGGTTGCATCCTACGCATGGTCACCAAATATTAACATTGCAAGGGCTATCTGTCTATTCTATAATCAATGTTAATACTAATAATAATAATTTAACAAAAAATGAATACAGGAAAACAACAAAAAGTTCCTATTTAGTACCTAAAAAAATATTTAATTATAATCCAGTTAATATTAAATAATAATAAATAAATAATTTTAATATATCAYACTTTAATWGATAGTTTTAATTTTAAATCATCAGCTGTTTATTCTGATGCAAAAATACAAGTAAATTTACATTTTCTGGTGATAAGGAAGCTCTTTTTCGGGTGACTATATTACCAGCAGTTGAAAAACAACGTTCAGCACTCACTGATGTTGCAGTAATTGCCATATACTTTTTAGCAAGTTTACCTATTGTCGGATATTTTGAATATCRTGTTTTCYACCACTCTAAGGGATCTWATGTAAATCTCAAMTGCGGTTYTGCTAAATAGTTTTGAAATTCTTTTGTTAGATCAATTTCTTCATTGTTGATCCCAAATATATATTCAAGATCACTTCTATGTTTATTTTGTTGTTCTTGAGAAGCTGTAGTTATTTCATTGAGCTCGAAATAATTATTTTGGTTGATTATTTGTTTTATTTTAGAGCGGATTGCCTCATGATTAGATAATACTTCGTGGTCTAAGTCTTTAAATCTAGGATCCAAGAATGAAGCAATTTGTTCTAATAATACAGATTCAGTTGAATCCCATTCAAGCGAAAAGCGGCGTTTAATTTCTGAAGCTAATGTTTGTTTCAATGTTTGTACAATGGTATCTTCATTTTCATGACATTGCATTAAATGTTTTTCAATAATTTGTTTTAATAATGGTCTAATCATTGATATTGACGAATTATTTTCCGTACAAAAAATGTTTGTAGTAACATATATCGGTTTAAGAAATTGTATAAGCGACTCGATAAATAACCATTCATGTTCTTTAATTTCGAGTTTTTGAGCCATAAATTGAGGTGTTATAGTTCGATCTGCTAAAACATTGAATATTGCACATCTATTCAAAACGAGACGTTCCATCATAAGGTATATAGAATTCCACCTTGTCTTACAACTCTGAAGTAAAGTTGTTTTTGTTAAGCCAAGTAATTCTTGTTTTTCTTCAAGTGATGTTTTAGCTAATGTTGAATGTTTAAAGTGCCCTACAATTTTATTGCATTGTTTTATTATATTAACTATATTTTCATTTTTTAAGACACAATTAACGGCAAGTTGTAGACTATGTGCTGCACATTTAACACTATAAATTTCGGGACTTATTAAAGGAATGGCGTTAGTTATATTTTTCGCATTATCAGTTACTATTTCAAAATTTAACATTACATTTTTAATAATCTTTGTTAAGTGTCTCTTTGTAGATTTCACGACAGACTCCCATAGTCCACCAAAATGTGGAGCAGATGGAGGATGAAGTGCCAATGGATTTCATGCTCGGTGAAATCATAAATAGAATCCTATAACTATGCAAAATGTGACTTTAGTATACGGTTGGTGCCAACAAAATTGGTACCATTTTAACTGTACAAATGACTACATTGCCCACGACGGGACATAAATCTTGATAGTGCAGCCATGAATGCTTCAGCCGTGAGGTCTGAAACTAATTCTAAATGAATTGCATAAGTGGACATGCATACGAGCACTACAGAGTCTACTTGATTTGGTCACAGTGAAATTTTGTCTTTGAACAAGATCCAACCATTCTTTTTTCCTACAGTCGTCATCAGGAAATCTTGAACACATAATTTTAGGTCAAATAAGGGATAGGTATAATAAATAATTTTACACATTATACCGGAATAACTTAATGTTTTTGGCAAGACCATCCCGATTATTTCAACTATAGGCACAACACTTGTAAGGCATAATTAAAATAAATTAATTCACAAAATTGTCAAAATTGTAGAAAACTAGAAAGTGAAAGACAAAACAAAATATGATTTTGGCGCCAAAATAAATTTATTTATTATCAATATTAAATACGTGTGATAAGACCCATTGGCCTCTTTTTAAATGGCGGATGGTAACTTCAAGTCTTATCACAGTTCTTAATCTAATTTATTCTATATATCTGTGTATTAAGTACTAAACATTTTATTTTTATTTTATTATTGTTCCATTTTGTCCAGCTAAAATTGAATTTCTGACCACTGTACCCCGCTCTAATGTACCAACTATATAGATGAATTTTCCATTTCAAAGAGAGGCCGATGTAAAAAATCAAAGTATTATTTCTTTTCCAAAACGTGATGACAGACAAACAAAAAAAGAAAATAAATAACATTATTGTTCAATCAACTGTAATTATTTATCCTAATGATTTTCCAATCATTAAATATTGCATTACTCAAAAAAATAAATAACATTATTGTAAAATCAATCATTATTCAGAATCTAAAATAAAATAAATGTAATGCATAATTATATTTTTAGTGTTTTTATATTGCTAAGCAATTTAAAATGCAGTTAAATTTATATTGAGAGCATATTTATTTTATCATTGTTGACATACAAAATAGTATAATTTTATTAAATCAATAACCATAATATGAAAAAAGTAATTCATTATTTTTAAGACAACATTGGTGTTAACTCATTAATAACGATACATGCATATAACAGGTTACTGAACAATTCCCGAAACAGAAAACAAATATTCGAAAAAATTCTATGATAATGCCAAAAGTCCAATTAAAAACGAACACAAACTTATTAAAAAATGAAAATATTCCAAATAAATGTGTTTCAGATATGGATGAAGGTTAACGTTGGTATTCTGTGGTCATAGATTAAATATTAACTTATAAATATTACATTACAGCTATATTGCGATGGGATAAACTGAAGTCAAAAATTAAGGTGCCCGGTGACGGCCAGGAAGTCATCAACGCCGAGGTAATTATCATTAAGTATAACATTATAATTAACTACGTGTATTAATATGTCTTAGAATATATGCGATGCACCGATGTGTTTAGAAAAGCTACAAAAATCAATTGAAGACAATGGAAAATCAAAAATATTACCGATTAAAAATACACAGAATTTAAAAACGAAGGTTTACAGTTTCAAAAATGAAACAATTAAGCAAGGTTTCAATAATCATGTAAAATAAACAGTACATTTTGTAGTTTATATAATATTATTAGTGACATACATGTTATGCATTACAGAGTAAAATTAATAATCACAACAACGCTATGAAGTCAGATTTAAATAATAAAGGCGTTAAAAATGTTAATTTATCGAATACTAACGTCTTTGAGCCATTTAGAACCGAAATGGAAAATATGTACAATTATGTGGAACAGTTAAATGAAAAATTAAAAACAGTTACGGCAAAGTTAACAAATGAGAAAAGTAATATTGTGTTAATCAATTCGGTTACAGCGGCTTTGGCTTTGGATAACTTAACCCATCAGAATCTCCAATTAGAACAGAAGATACTAGAAGGATTTTCCTACAAAGAAAAGCTAGATTCAACATCTATGGAATTAGCAAATGTTATCATTGAAAAAACTGATCTTCAAAGACGGTACCTACGTAAAAAATATACAATAATATGATGATGGATAAAAATTAGTTTTTTATAATAAATTCTTGTTATTAGTTTGAAAGATTCGGAGGCTGCGTTAGTTAGTGCAAGTGAAAAGATTCACGCCCTATCAGAAAAATCTGATGATAGCAAATATGCAGAACAAATTAAAGAAATAGAAGATGAGTAAATATAGTAAAATTAACTGTCATGAATAGATTAGCTTTATATATATTTTTTTTTAGGCGATTAGAATGGAATGTATATCAAATACAACTGGAAAATCAAATCGCGGAAGATCATAAAGCTTTAAGTCGCAAAGAACAGTACATCAAACACCAAGATTACATAATCGAAAATTTGACGCAAGATAAACTGAATCTTGAAATACAGTTGAACAAGCCTTTGTTAGAATTACAATCGCATCAATCCGAAGAAATAGAAAATTATCAAAACGAAATCAAACGACTTTCTACAATCATAACAGACACGAAGAAGACGTTAGTAGCTAACAAAGAATCGCATATGACAGAAATGTCGGAAATGAGGTACTTACACATTTACATAACACTGTAAATCGCTATATTAATATCTCAATAGATATGAGTATGTGTACATCATATATTCATATTTGTATTGTTTGTATTAATTAATTTCATAATAAGACAATATACGCAAAATAATGTATAAGTGTGTGGTTTACAGAGATCGCATTAGAGAACTGGAGAAGTTAGTAGATACAAAAACCGATTTAATTCACCAGCAAAACATGACAATAAACTTGATGAGAGAAATAACTCCGGCAACTAACGATAATTCAATAATGAAACACAGATGGCAATAAGAAACTAATGATGACTATTAAGAACCATAATAACTCAAATCACCTAAATTTTTATTGTTGGTTACCAAATATATTGATGAAATGCGAACAGGGATTATTTTGTCTACATAATAGTAATAGGTATTGTATTAGAAAAATACAACACCAATATTTTCCATGACACAAAATATCACGCGTAATTATAATTTCAAAATCGTAATCTTCATTATAAAAGATATATTAATATTAAACAGTACAATAATTATTGTTAATATTTATAAAATTATTTAAATAAATATTGAAAAATTGATCGTGTCAAAAATTAGAAAGAAAAATTAATAATGCATTAACGTATAGTTATTAATTGACATTACATAATGACATGATATTTTTACTGTAATACCAAATAATAAAAACAAAACTATACATTTTTGAATTGAAATCAAGGTGCCCGTCCTTTTAAAAAATTCAGTGATTGCATATTTAACGAAAACAACAACTTTTCACCTGCAAGACGACATCATAATAGGCAAAACTGGAGGAGATTAGAGTATTCAGTACACCGTCACTTCATCGTGATCTTATTTGTTGTGCTTCACTCCATCGCTGACTGTTCATCGTTCTAAACGCCTTCGCAAACATTTCATCGTGTAACAGTGTATCGAATACATTTCATCGTACATGACACATCATTGCAATGCTCATTAATCATTATCGTATAAAGACATATTTTTCATTTGTATGGTGAAATAAATAATTTAGATGTTATTATAAAACGTGTAATTTACTAGCTTCATTAGTTTTATTATGAAAATATTTCAAATATTATAATTTAAAAATAAAAATAATATACAATTCTAAAAAATATTATAAAAATCACCGAAAATCAATTTTAAAATAAATAAAAGTTTTTTTAGCTAATGATTTATTTTTTTAATGTTTTTTGACATCGATTTTGAAAGCCAATCTCTTTAAATAGATCCAAATTGGCTTGTTTCCGTATTCATCTACAATTCTTATAATTCTTTCTGCAGTATCACGATAAGTTTTTTGTCCAATTTGTGGAAGTCGGCCAGTAATCAACTGGATTTGTGTCATTTCCATTAAACTTTGGGATTCCTTTATTTTGTCCAAAAATTTCCAAATGTAATAAATAAAGACACTGGGACTGTTGTAGTCTCAACAACCCGAACGGTATCAAACTTCTATCTTTTATTGACAACACTTCTTACACAATATCTGCACCAAATGACCCTACCTACTTTCCTACGGTCATTAATAGTCTTCCAGATATATTAGATGTTTTATTAATAAAATCATTTCCGTTTATATGCACTCAAGAAACTCTCAGAGCATGACTCTGACCGTATACCGATAAAAATCACAATTAACTCGTCTCACTATCTATCAGTCCAACTAGTCCTTAATTGAAGGTAAACCTAACTGGAACATATTCTCTAGCCATGTAAATTCAAATTTAGTAAAACCAAAAGCTATTCCAACGATCCAAGTGGCTGACCAAATGGCCGAACACCTTACTACAGTTATTGTGGAAGCCGCACGAGCGTGCTCTAAGCCCACGCAACATAACACAGTAAACATTGGTGTTTTATTACAACACATTCTTTCTTAATTCAAAGTAAACACTATGCTAGACGCATTAGGCAAACCCAAAGAAGTGAGGAAAATAAAAGGTCATTAAAGAAACTCACTAAAGATGTGCAAACGGCTCTATAAAATTACCGTGTGTCGTCACACACGACAACTGCTTGTCAAATATGCATCCGGGTGATCCAAATCTATGGAAATCGACCAAAAGATTATTGAATAAAAAAAATAGACGTTATTCTCCCTCTCCGTGTAGCAAATAAACTAGTGTCATCTGATATAGACAAATGCTACGTTTTTTTCGGAATTGTTACACAACACATTTTATACTAATCAAATTACTGATACATATATGAACGACGGGTCCAAAATTTATTGAATTTACCTTATTACTTTGTCCAAGAATGTATGAACTAATATGTTACTCCAAATGAAACCAAACTTATCGTCAAAAAAATGCTGATTAAAAAAGCTTCAGGTCTCGATCACATTACTAACCTTATGTTAAAAAAACTTCCCGCCAAAGGACTCGTCTTTATGACCTCATTATTCAATGTTTTACTACGCACTGGACTTTCCACTCAGTTGGAAGAAAGCAACAGTAATTTTAGTAAAAAAACCAGGAAAGGATAAAATAAACCCTAACAACTATAGACCGATAAGCCTGTTAACCTCCTTATCAAAAATATTTGAAAAAGTCATACACACTAAGCTAGGAAACTATCTGCATAGCGCAGATCTTATTCCGAAATTCCAATTCGGGTTAAGATCCAACCACTCGACACTACAAAAAAATTTTCGCATAACGGAGCTGTTTTTATCGACGTCTCTAAAGCGTTCGACAAAGTGTGGCACGAAGGCCTATTATACAAATTAAAATTATTCAGTACGCCAATATACTTATTTAATATTATTAAATCCTTTTTATCCAACAGACAGTTCTTAGTCAAAAAAAATGACTCTAACCCTAACCTTCAGCCTATCTCTGCAGGTGTATCCYAAGGCTCAAATCTGGGTCCTATCTTATTCAATATCTTCATATCTGATATACCCGAGTCAAAAAAAATTGTGTTTAAATTTAAAAAAAAGGTAGGTAAGTGGATATCGGTCTACTGTACAATAGGTTTCAAGTGGGTCACTGTTTAATGAATAGTATTAAATTTGAACTCTATGATATGATATCATTGAATACGAAAAGCGATTCTGAGCTGAGACGGTTTGTCAAGTGAATATTTTATATTATACTTATTATTCATGTATATATAGTAATTCGTTTATGAATTAAAATAAAATAAGAAAATCACCACATGAGACATCGACTGAATATCCAATTTTTTTTAAAAATTTGTCTACATACTTAGCATACTATCATAGCATACTTATGAAGAATCTAGTATTACATTTTAAAATTTAAGATTCAAAAAGAAAAATTTATATGAATTTCTAATTCAAATTAATTTGCTAATTTCGTGTTTTTTAGTATTTTTTCAAGATTTGAACTTTAAATGTTTATTAAAAAAACTGAGACTAAGCATTTTTAATCATTTTTAAATTTCATTGTAACAATATAGTATGAGCTTTGTCATTAATTTTCAAGCTTTTTTACCTAACAAATAAAGTTTTATTGACATTCATAGACAAAAAAAAACCTAAAAAAGTTGAAAACTAAGTATATCCGTACACAGCTCAAAACAAATTAAAATATTTTCATAAATTTTTCATGTACAGAAAAGCAAATATAAACATTTAGTAAAAAAGTAAAAATGTCATGTATTTACGGGCATTTGTTTTAGAGTTACATCAAAAATCAAAATAGATTTTGCGCAAAAATTCCCGTTTTCCCTTAACATTTAGTTTGTTTTTCCTGGAGCTTTTAATAACTTTTGGAAATTTTTAATTTTTACCCCCCAAAGTACCAACTAGATTCACTTTCCTATCAGGAAATATAATATTGAAGAAAATCTAAACATTTTTACAGTCCTAAAACGTGATGACAGACAAAAAAACAAATCAAATTAAAAATTAAAAAAAAAACACACATCATTGTAAAATCGATACATTCATCGCTCCGCTCAGAATCTAAAAATGCATTGTTAGAAGATGCCTTATGATTAAATGACTAAGTATAAGTATGAAGTACTCTGATATTGAATATTAGAGAGGAAAGGTCTGGTCATTTTTTTTTCATTTTTATAATTTAAAGTGCCTTTAATTCATTAATGAATGAGGAGAGTTGAGCAGCGACATTTTGGTTTTGGGAAGAGTTGTGATCTTGAGCATGCATCTCATGCATATGCATTCTGTAATTTATATATTATGAGTGTACAAAGTAGGTAACTATATACTACCAAAGTATTGTTCACATATCGCTGTGGAACGGAGGGTCTGCAATCCACAGGTGGATCGCCTAACTGATTAGCTGTAGCACATCCGACAAAATCGAATTGCCTACCTAGGAGGCTTAATTGAATGTTAATGGATTATCACTTGAGGGGACTAACTTGCTACACAATGAAACATGGATTTCTGATGGACTCCGATTGGAGTTAAAGTTCTCGTTACGAAAAGTGGCGGCCGTCCGTGAGTTGTGGCATACTGTTTTCTTTGCAATATAGTGTGTTCACTGTTGATGTGTGCACGTCGGTTTGCGTTTGTAGTAATACGATGTAAAATATATATTCGTTTTTTAAAAACCTAGTGTTTCATATATTTATTTTTTTTTTTACATTAAAATATAATTTAAAGATAACAATCTACATAGCCAAAGTAAAAAAATAATTTATAGTATATATTTATTTTATTTTTAATTATCGGAATCGAAAGAAATTGACGCTAATTTTTTTCGAAAAACGCATGATATCACTGCCAAGGCTTGCGGAATATCGAAACGTTCCATTCATCGTATTTTCTCAGAAGCAAAGAAAAATTATGAATTACCTGAGACGGGCCTTTCTTTTTCGTCTCCACGTAAGTCATACAAGCGGGCAAAATATGTCTCAGAGTTTGATGATTCCGACAGTGATGTGGTTAGGACAGTTCATGAATTTTACTACAGGGGTGAGTATCCTACATCAGAATTAATACTCAATGCCAATTTATACTCAAGAGCAAAAATAATTACCCAGAAAGTCTAAGTTCAATTCAAAGACTCTTTAGAAAGTTAAAATTTGCTTATAAAAAATGTAGCGATGGTCATAAATTTTTGATGGAACGTAACGATATTGTTGCGCTTAAATGTAAATTTTTAAGACAAATTTGTACAATGCGCCAAAATAAAGATACTCGACCAATTGTATAATCTGCAAACTTTGAGAAATTATAATATAAAGATGTGTAGTAACATATTAAATATAGGTATAAATAAGAATAACATAAAAAATATAATTAAAATAGTAACGATTCTTGTATAGAATAATAAATATCAGAACAAACAATGAGATATTATAATATAAAGATGTGTAGTAACATAGTTATAAAACTTATTAAACGAGGTATAAATAAAAATAACATTAAAAAACATAATTTTGTCTGCTATTGTTGGCAGCATCATATCACGGTGAATTTCGTTGTTTCTTTCGAACCGGTAAGCTGCAGTGATGGTCTGAAGGGCTGCAATGTTTTGACAGCGATGTATTACATCGATGTTAGACTTACTGGTACAACCCCACAATTGAATGCCATATATCCAAATCGGTTTTATAATTGCTACATACAGCAGACATTTGTTTTCGATGGTTAACTCGGAGTAAGGTCCGACCAACCAATAAAGTTTTCGCATTTTTTCTTTAATCTGATTTTTTTTTTTGACGGACGTGGTGTTTCTAGTTTATTCGAGAGTCAAGGTGCATTCCAAGATATTTTGATGAATCTTTTTGCGGGATTGGTGATTGATTCAGTACTATTTGGATGTTTTCTGTTTTACGTAATGTATGGTTAATGTGCACCAATTTATCATCATTGGATTATCTTAATTTTCCAACGTTTTGTCCAGGCAAAGATATTGACAATTGACCTCTGWAAGTCATCAGTTGCATTACGTGTTGACAAAATATCCGTATCATTAGCAAACATAGCTAATGTTATGTTATCATCGTTTGGTATATCAGCCGTATAGAGTAAGTAGAGAATAGGTCCTAAAACACTATCTTGCGGTACTCAAGCTGATATATCTTTCCATTTGGTTGTCGCTTCTTCCTGTATGACTCGAAATTGACGGTCGGTCAAGTATGATTCAAAAAGTGCACACCAGGTATGTGGCAGCTGATCACGCAGTTTGATAAAGAATCCTTTGTGCCAGACTTTATCAAAAGCCTGGGCGACGTCCACAGCAGTACTTTTTTTCTTCAAGAGCTTTACTAATCACATTAGTAACTGAATGAACTTGATCGATTGTTGAATATTTGTTGCGAAACCCAAACTGATGTTCTGGTATAAGATTTTTTTCCTCCATAATCGGTTTTAGGCGTTTGAGCAGAAGTTTCTCTAAAAGTTTAGATAAACTTGGAAAGAGTGATATCGGTCGGTATGATGTGACATTTTCAGGTGGTTTTCCTGGTTTGAGMAACATRATAACTTGTGYCCGTTKCCATTGTTCTGGAATGTATTCCAAGCGCAAAATAGCGTTGTATATGTGTGTAAGATGAATGATARCCTTCTTTGGAAGTTCTTTCAGTATTTTTGGACTAATTTCATCATAACCTGCTGATTTTTTTGGGTTTAAGTTGTTATCTATTTCTTTAGCAATTTCTAACGGCGAGAAATATTTGATTTTTTCACGTGCTGCATTAAGAGATTGGCATTGCAAGGTGTCRAGCTCAGAGTCAATAGTATTTGGCATAAATACGTGTTCAAGATGCCGAGCGTATATTTCGGCTTTTTCTTGTTCGCTGCGTGCCCAGGTGCCGTCTTCCTTACGGAGGGTTGGTATCTGTTCACGGGGCCTCTTCATGACTCTTGTGGCTTTCCATAACGAATAATCGGTATTATCCGTCGCAGTGAGACCACTCAAGTATGATTTGAACGTTT